CTTTGTTCACCATTCTAAATAAATATCAAGGGCATCGCCCTTTGTTCACCACTTTTAATCTCTCGAAACATGCACCTAAAAGTATTTGCCAACAATGCACACAAGGCGTAACTGATACTGGCTGCAAGAGCGAATGCAACTTGATAAGACATGTCAGCTTGCATAATGCTGTTTTCATTACCAGGCTCTTAGGTGATGCTATTAATGAGGTCACATGAGCGGTGATTTCAAATGTATTAAAAGGAGTGAAAATGAAGCTACTTGAACCAAGTATTTCACATGATAGAAACATGTGATCACCTTCTTTGAGCACCGGTAAAATGAACATAATTATGGAACCCATTCATATACATAACCGATATATCCGGCATGATGCATAAAATTTAATATCTAAGTTGTGTAAACATTTGACTCTGTGAAAATTTACATATGCTTCCCGCTCAAGGAAATTTAAATGTTTCCAGCCCTCGTAAACTTAGAACGTAATCGGAAATTTCAACATCTATTGCAAGTAAAAAGAAATGTATTGGAAATACTCTAAAATCACGTTTTTGCTGGGGTACTTGTCTTGCATGCTTGGAAATACCTGAAAAGCCGGTCTTAGCATACATTAAAGTGGTGATTGTGCATACGGAAATATACGATGAGCGTGTGTTTCAAAGTTATAGCATTGTATGAAGTCAGGAAATATCTACACAAGTAGGCAACTCCGGTCACAGCATGTATTCCCTACAATGTTTGCGGTTATTACAATGGTGTACAATACGGCTTTTGGTCCTGTGCTTATTCTTAGTGCGTCTGGACCATATCTATCAAAACGGATTGTACCAACGTGGTATATTTCTATGATATACATGACTCCCGACGAGGAAATGTTGTATAAATCGGTTTTAAAACCAATTCGTTTTACTTATGTGCCCGCCTCTACAGAATCGTGACTGCTCAATTGAGGTTTATCGAAAGGGGAATTTTGCTCAAATTGATGGGTTCTCTGTATTGTCTCCTCACAAAGCAATCAGATCACATTGCATAACATCCACCTGATTATCCAAAAGCACAAAAAAAACTACCATGACCGATATACTTTCATATGCTCATTTGTGTAACATCAAACATGCGTTCTTTCATGTTGGCATTAACAGATATCTGAAAGTCACAGTTCGTATATTATATTTTAAAAAGTCTTAGTAAAGTATCTCGGTAATATTTCTGCTTGTCATTTGTATGACATTGGTGGTTTCAAGGCGTTTACCTAATAACCCCAGACCTTAGTATATCAGTAGAATTGGCAGATGTTGAATAGGAAAATTTCAGATGGCATAAATATAAAACTGACAATTAAAGTACTGATGAGCTAGTACGCTTCTAGCGCATACCAGAATACGAGAACATATCCATTAAAAAACATACACCAACAAAGGTCAAAAGTCAGTCAACATTTTGCCAAACGTTTGTGGACTTCATAGACGTGGGAACATACATATTGAATAGTGTCTAAAACTGAGTCTGTTTCAGTAGTAAAAAAGCACAATTTCTCCTCCAACGCCGAGATGCAAGACAACGTGTCTACAGACATCGAAAATAACACTTAAACACCGAATCGCTTTCAACATGAAGAAATGTTTTATTGGAGGATTTGTGATAGTTTGACGGGTCATATGAGAGAATTCTGCGCACGGAGATCTGACTTGGTGACGGTTCAGTGGAATCATACAATCGGTACGTCCACTGAATACTTCAGACGTCATTATATGGTCTTAAAACATTCTGCAGCTGGAGTTGAAAGACGCCCTAGCCCTATTCCTTGCAAAGGCTTGCTCAATGACATTCACAAGATAACATGTATAAGATGCAAACAGTACAACTATACTATTTGTGCTGTTAAGACTTTTAGATTTAATAAACACTTTTCGTCTGGACCAAATGGCACCTGTTAGACTTCGTGACCTGAATGAATGTTTATCACATCAGTTTGATCGTTTCCTATGTCTTAGGCACGTGTTACACAGGGACATCTTCTTCATAAAACTGTGATAAGCAACAGAAAATGTGTCATGTGGACAGATTGATTTCTATAAAAGAAAATGAATATATTGTACCGTCACATTGAAGTGGTTGTGTCGCAGAACGAGACTCAAAACATCATTCAAGGTGAGTTGTTCGATGACCTCTAACATATTTATTTATGCCAATTATGTTTCAGAATATGATAAACAGCTGCTTATAATGTTTCTGTTCAGTAAATAATACATACGAATCTGCACACATTAAAACAAATGCATTCCAATGATTCAAAGATACACGTTCCTCTTTTCTTAATTTCAGTGTCATCAACAACTGTATTGTTGAAACATTTCAAAATGGATTTATTCAAGGAATTCAACACGTGGTGTCAAGTTACATATCTTCAATTTCGAACAAATGTTCGAAGAGTTGTCTCCAAAGAAAAATCGAAAGATATAATCGGTCCATGTTTGACACCAGAAACTGTCCCTAAGTTTGTTATACCAAAAAAGTTTGTACAAAATTCTGAAGAAAAGAATTTATGTGGAGATGAAGAGCTCGTATTAAACGCAGGTCTCCCGTTCCATATCCATGAAACGAAGATGAAGCCAGCAATTGATTGCCTATCAAAATTGGAACTCGTGAAGCAAAACAGTTCCAAGCATGCATGATATCCAGGAAAACCCATGAAAGAAATCCATCAAACATATATGAAATTTGTGATGACAACGATGCTGATTATGGAAAGTATACATTGAAAACATGTCCACAATCTGCTTCTTTTATTGAAATAGAGGATATTCCTTGTGTGTATTTTGGACAAATGGATCAAGGAAAGATAGGATCATTTTCTAGGAAATACGTTACGGAACCTCACATGTCGCCTCCACAGAAGGATTTTATTGTAAAAAATCATGCTCCGATGGTATCAGTAAATGGTATGGAAGCAGATCCTCTTCCGAGACGACAAAGTAGTTCACGTTCTGGCCAATATACTCGTCGGCGTTCCTCGCTGCCTTACGTTGCATCCATGTCACAATGTGATAAGAGCGATATAAGGGAGGAATCGTTTTCAGTCTGCCAAAGTGACGGGGAAAGCGTTGATGAAGGAAAGCGCAACTCATCGCACGAAACTACAGGTCCCACTCTTTCCCGAAGCTCCAAATCGCCAGGTTGTACCCAAAGCATAAGCCAATAACTTAGGGCACAACTAGGAGAACTCAAGTTCGAATTTGCATACTTGGACAACAGAAAACAGTTGAAAGTATTACTGCTGAGAGGTGAAAATGTTGGCAGATAAAAAAAATTTGACTACAATATGTTTATGTATATGTTTGATGCCAGGCAAACTCCAAACTCAGTTTTCAACTGAACAAAGGCACACAACAGATCCACATTATAACGAAGAGTTTTACTTTTCAAACATGAAGTTAAGGGATGTTCAAGAAATGACTCTTCAACTGAAGATATACAATAATATGCCACTGAGGCACACTGAAACCATCGACGAGATAAGCGTTCCCCTGTACAAGTAGGACATACTCAAAGAGACACGGTTATGGAGGAAAATTGAGAAAACGACAACCAAGATGATAAGTAATCATTGGAACGAAATTCTGTTATTCAGATATATCATGTAACGTGCATGGTTCTTCTTCACATGTACTAAATTACTTTGTAATAATGTACAATGAAACACATATACATGTACTGTGATATACATTGTAAAAGTATTATTTCTGTATTCATTACATAAATGATTGGACTTATTTGCAACATTTGATACGGTCATGTATTTTCTGTATTCGTTAGTATGATATCGGCCACATCAGTTTGAGTGTGAATTTAAACACCAGCCACAAGGAACTCCTCGTGACCATAGGCAGAGTGACGGGACTCGGTATTGCCGGCAAATCCGATGGTAAGGATTCTTTATTCATCATATTTATAAAATAATAGCAAGAGCTGTAGTGTCATGAAAGTGATTTGTCGCTATGTGAATAAAACAATGCCACATATTTACTGTCCAGTCACCTGAATTTTTCAACTTTGAAAATGATAGAACATTTAAATATCCTCTTTTACTACATTTCAGGTACCTATGTGACAGTGGATGTTTCACAGCACTTTGGAGATGTCACTCAACAACGAACACGTGACCAACAAAACTCATCTTATCCCGTGTTCAATGAATCATTAACATTTGATTTGCCATTGGTCGCATTAGAGGATCTGATGACCACTAGGATCATTGTCCCTGTATTCAAAATCGAACTCTTAGGCCACGATATCATACTGGGGCAGGTGTGTCTTGGATGTGACAGTACAGAGGATAGTGAGAAGTTGCATTGGCAAGAAGCACTCAGAGCCAAGGACAGACTGTAGGCAAATGGCACTATTTGATGGAGTAGATACGACAGGACAGAGGATAGTGAGAAGTTGCATTGGCAAGAAGCACTCCAGAGCCAAGGACCGACTGTATGCAAATGGCACTATTTGATGGAGTAGATACGACAGGACAGAGGATAGTGAGAAGTTGCATTGGCAAGAAGCACTCCAGAACAGAGGACAAACTGTAAGCAAATGGCACTATTTGATGGACTGTAACAGGACAAATGGCACTATTTGATGGAGTAGATACTGTATGCAAATGGCACTATTTGATGGAGTAGATACGACAGGACAGAGGATAGTGAGAAGTTGCATTGGAAAGAAGCACTCAAGAGCCAAGGACATACTGTAGGCAAATGGCACTATTTGATGGAGTAGATACGACAGGACAGAGGATAGTGAGAAGTTGTATTGGCAAGAAGCACTCCAGAGCCAAGGACCGACTGTATGCAAATGGCACTATTTGATGGAGTAGATACGACAGGACAGAGGATAGTGAGAAGTTGCATTGGCAAGAAGCACTCAAGAGCCAAGGACAGTCTGTAGGCAAATGGCACTATTTGATGGAATGGACGGCAAAGTATGCAACAGAGCGCAAATTCGGACAAGTTTTGTAATGTTTATTGATTTAATAGAACATAAGTACGCCTTACTGCGTATTGGTACTCCACATCAAAATAGATTACTAAATCACATCATCATTACTGCGAAGAGACATATTCTCATATGCAGTATCACAAATATGCTTCCAAATCAAAATTTATATTTAAAAACTCTAAAAGAAATAATCTTTGTGGAAAATCATATATCAACACAAAACAAAAATAAAATATACAATTTCAGTCACAAATGGAGCCTTCTATTCCAAGTACATAGAGGACTCCAAACTGTATCAATTTGTACCTGACATTATCTATATGTTTAATATAATAATATATTCACATGATACCAATACATCATGCAACTGTATTACTATAGACCGTATGCATCGCGACTTTGTATGTCTGTGATATTGTAATCTTAGGAACCAATATAAAAAATAAAAAAAGCCAATTATGCAGTAGGTTAATTTGTTATTTAGTGCACTTCCGCACAATTTCTGTCGTTGAAGAATCATTATTTGTCAAGAGTTATAATTCATTAAGCTGAAATGTACGAATTCACGCGTAACTGTCCACATTAACGGACTTTGCTTACATTTGAGCCGTAAAATAGTTTATGCGTGCATGTAGTTATGTCATCATGTTGTTTTGTAATGTGGTATTCGTGGTATTACAGTATTGAACGGATTCGAAGATTTTGATTCAGTTTCGATTGAACAGAGTAATGACAGAAATCACAATTGCCATGGAAATGAACTATTGTCTTTCTTCAAATTAGATACAGATTGAGAGAGAAATGTAAGTGTAATGTTAAATATCTGTGAACATCTATATACCTTGGCACGCTGGACACTTCTTTTTCCTGTCACATAATTTGACGCTTGACTACTATTATACACACTGTCTTCACTGTGTTGATATTGTCTAGTGAAAGAATGTATAAATGTCATGTTCTGTCAGGGGCGGTGGGGTAGCCTAGTGGTTAAAGCGTTGGCTCCTCACCGAAGACCTGGGTTCGATTCCCCACATGGGTACAATGTGTGAAGCCCATTTCTGGTGTCCCCCGCCGTGATATTGCTGGAATATTGCTAAAAGCGGCGTAAAACCACACTCTTTCACTCACTCACTCATTTTCTGCCTGTTTCAAAGTACAGTCAAATACCATTGTGTCCAAGATGAAGGTGCCTATGCAAACCGACAAATGATGACTCAACCAGGAATATGCAGTGGTCATGTTTTCCTTCGAGACAACCGTAACTTCGACGCAATGGTGTTTGACCGCATATTACTGTTTAATTTTTGTTATAATGGTAAAAGATGTTACAGCAACGTCGCCATTTCGCTTCGTAGTTGAGAATCTTGCTTCAAAGACCTCAATCCTTGGGGCTAGCTGTGTCAGGGGTTTGGTAGTTTACTCTTATCATTAGTCCTTTGATCAACTTTCCAACCAAACACCCCTTCACTTATCTTAATTCGGAACAGCACACGCGCCTAAACATAAGAAATCAGGAGCTGTCACTTGACAACCGAACATTAAACATTTTTTTATGTCATCCTCGGTCCAGGATGCATTACTCACACTTACAATTTACGGAAATGTTCACACACAAGAAGTGTATATTACCAATGAAATAACAGTTCTTATATCCAATCCGAACGGAAAGCCACGTTTTCAGCGTTGGCTAATCACAGATCCAAGGGTGCGTTTGCATATGACACTACTTATTCATTCACATTCGTGTTCATTGGCTGTCCACATTGATTACGTTAAAGGACGTTTTCACGGTTTGAATTCCACCTGATGCTGTTACCATGAAAACAACACCATTGCTAGAGTTTTCCTCAATGGCCCTAATAAAGGCCCCCGTGACATGTTCCATGCTGAAATGACAAATGAAAAATTCGTAAGTGACGCGTTGCTCAGATTTTTCATGAACACGTATTTTAACACATATCAATGTCCACTCTTAGTGATGCATTTTTCATTTCATCTTCATCTGATTGTCAATAAATGGATATAAAGTTTAGTACTGAGTTGTTAATCCTTCAGTTCTGTGACCATATGGCAGACAGCAGGAGACTGAGCTGGGTTCCAACGCTGGTATTGTACACGGATTATAAGCATGACTTTGGGCGAAGGCCCGAAATGATTACCATTTTGGTGACGGTCTGTAAATAGTCTGGACCAGACAATACAGTGATCAACAGCATGGGCAATGATCTACGCAATTGGGATAAGATGACATGTGTCAACCAGGTCAGCGAGCCTGACCCACCTAATCCCGTTAGTCGCCTCTTACGACAAGCACGGGTTGCTGAAGACCCGGATCGTCACGGGTCTGCTTGGTGAGGAGGCTCTGTAGTATGACGACTTACTTGCACAAACCATGTTTGTTCAGGACTTGCACGAAACTTTCCTTGTTATAAATCTGATCATCCCGAACCTCATTAACCATAGCTGTAGATGTTCCAGAAGGACACACAGTTGCCAGGCGAATACCTGCCTTTGTAATATCGGGATTAGCCTGCAACAAAAGGGAAAAAGAAGTGAGAAAAATCCTGTACATTTTAGTAATATTCCAGCAATATCAAGAAGTAACCAAGCAGGGGCCCCAGCTATCTGAGCAAAAGCGTGGGTCTTCTGCTTAGACGGCAGGGTTACCCATTGCCCTCGTGGTTAAACTTGTCAGACTCAAGTATCTCCTCTTCTATATCAGTGAAGTTTCACAGGGAAAAACCATATGAATGTTGGAAAGCTCCGACCAAACAAATTAATTCTTCTGTCGCTTTCTTTTCGATTTGAGGAACTGAAATGCGCTCTCTTCTTTTCTAATCAAAAATCATTGACCATACTTGAAGGTACTGGCCATTTTAAATTCCGTTTGGCCTGAAAGTTTCCTTCTTAAAAGTTAGTTTTCTTTCTAGTCACTGCTTCAAACAGCGAAATATTTTGTTTGTTTCTATTTAAGAGCAGCACAATTAGCAGTTATTTTCCAGTTTGTCCAATGAACATTCCATTTCTTTGATAGAAGGATGCCAAAAATTAAACAAAAAATTTTCTCCATTTATTTCTTTTAAGATTTTCATAAGATACAGTTATATCAAATATTTACGCCGCCTTTAAGCTATGTTAGTTTCATATTCTTATCAGATAAAAGGTCACGAACAAATTAACATACGCCGTCTCTTTATGTTTGCATTTGTCTACATTTCAAAATTAATGAAATACTGGCATCAAGCTGCTTAACTTACTGCCCAACTGCTCGTGAAGTTCACAACGGCGCTCTTGGTACCTGCATACACCGGCACCCAAAACCCAGGAGATAGACCTGAAACAGTATTGCTATGGTAACCTCTATGATGTTGACGTTTTCTGGTCGGTCGTATGTACTTGCAGTATTCTCAGTTTTACAAATAGCGCCCCTCCCCATCACCTCCACGTGCCGGTGGTGGTGGTGATAGTCTGTCTATTTGGGGCTGAAGTGGTATTGGCGGAGACTAGTAACAATAGTACTGATGGTGATGGTGGTTTTGGCAACGATATGAAGTGATGTGATCTTGTGTATGTAATCGCTGAAGTAATGTAAACATCGGGCACGCACCTGCCGTGGAGGATGTGTTGATTATGACACCGCCCTGGCCTCCCCGATCTGTCCGCATGTGCTCGAGGGCCATCATGGTTCCTCTGACTACTCCTATCTAGCATTACAAAAGACAAAACAGACAATTATAACATGCTGTAGATTGTGGATATAGCAAACATGTCGACACCTAGTCACTACTTTAAGCGTGAGAAGAGGATAATGTAAAACATTTTGAAGATAGATCCGTCTTTATACTGTTCTGGCTGCTTTAATTGAAAGCAGGACCGTGGATACACCAGGATAGTCAATCCTGAAGGATGCTATGACTCACTCGAAATGTGAGTGGGTGTAGTTTTACGTCGCCTTCAGCAATATTGAAGCAATATCACGGCGGAGGACACCAGAAATGAGCTTTACACATTGTAGCCATGTGGGGAATCGAACCCGGGTCTTCGGCGTGACGAGCGAACGCTTTAACCACTAGGCTACCTCACCGTCCCTCACTCGAAAAGAACAGTCAAGCGTAGTTTGACAGTATTTACAAAACAAAATTGAACAAAACATGTTTACGTCAACGTAAACTATCAACTTACAAAATTGACGTTGATACATTTCTCCCAGTCTTTTTCACTGACTATTCCAGCGTTGTTGACGAAAACATCTATCCTTCCAAAGTGACTGACAGCTCGGTGAAAGCTACCTGAATGCACATCATAATGACATTTATAGACGGACCTTTTCGAATTAAAAGGGCGGAGTGATGTACACGGGGTTTGACGCCGCGCTAAAGTCTACTATTGGTATATTGCTGTTTAACGCCGCACTCGGGAATATTTTAGCTATACGGTGGCCGTCTGTAAGTAATCAAGTCTTTGCGAGACATTCCAGTCATTGACAGCATGAACATCGATCAACGCAAAAGGATAATATGACGTGTCAACCACGCCAGCAAGCCTGACCACCCGATCCCGTTAGTCGCCTCTTACGACAAGCATTGGTTGCCGAAGATCAATTCTAACCCGGATCTTCACGGGTCTCAAGTCTACTGTGAGTCTACTCACATGACGACTTATATAATTATGTTTTACAGTACTTTCCCACAAAGATAACAATGCCGCAGGTTTAACACGGATACGCCACTCAGACAGTGTTGTGACTCCGAGCCAACCAGTTATTTTTTACTTAATGCCGACAGGTTAAAGAAATTATTAATTATTGAATGTCCTTTTTAATGTCATTTAACTTCAGAACCATCTACATTCTGGTTTACGTGTAGACGTTCTATCTACCAGACCACGTAGGTACTCAATTACAACAGCCAACTTACAATCGATCACTTGATTGTCAGGGTGCTGTTGTACAAAACTACCTTAGCGCTAAGACTACCTTAAGAAGGGTCTAGGCTAACTGCCCCCAGGGGCGGTTCCTAGCCAGTCACCATCTGGGTCATCTGGACTTGTTCAGTGCCTGTTCATTTTGTAAAACTCCAATTGATAACAAAAATACTAGCAAGATGGGGAAGGGGGCTTGCCTAGGGGGCAGTTGTCCGAGGGGCACAATGGTCGGGGGATAACCAGGGGCAGTTGTCGGGGGGCAGTTGTCCGGGGGGCAGTTAGCCTGATACCCCTTAAGACTATGTTATGGTATGGGAGTTAATGTCACCTTAGCGCTAAGATCGCTTTGCTTTGCTTTGTGAGTGAGTGAGTTTAGCAGCAATATTCCAGCTATATGGCGGCGGTCTGTAAATAATTGAGTCCGGACCAGACACTCCAGTGATCAACAGCATGAGCATCGATCTTCGCAATTAGGAAACCGATGACACGTGTCAACCAAGTCAGCGACCCTGACCACCCGATCCCGTTAGCCGCCTCTTACGACAAGCGTGGGTTACTGAAGATCAATATTCTACCCGGACCTTCACGGGTGGCAGAAGAAGAAGACGTACTGGATGCAGCACTGCTGTGCGGTGTCAGGCAAATAATACTTTTGTGAATGACTGGTGCTACCTGTAAGGCAGGGCCTGTTTACCCGTTTGGCGAATACCTGGTGTCTTCACTGCTTTTCATAGCTCTGTTTCATGTTTTCATAGCTCTCGTTATGAACTAAACGAAATGTGTTTCTGAGGATAGTCAAGGCTGGGTATTCGTTTGCACTGATGTTCCATGTTTGAAACATCTTAGTTTTAGAAATCAAATTCCAAATCTAAGAGTACATGGCTGTTTGTTTTAGCAGTTTAGTAGTTAGTAGCTTTCAGCACTTTGCATAGATGTTAGCGCATTATACGAAGTCATAATATCATTTCAGATTAACTTGCAGTCTTCTTCGGTGGTTGTGTTTAAATGCTTATGTCAAGTGGAAATAGTTTTACTAAACACCTCTCCCAGCGAGGTTAATTTTACAAACTGGTGAACAGAAAGTGCAAATTTCTGAAATGTATCAGGAATAGAAGCGCTAATATGTCGTCATAGCATCAGCCACTGTTTACAGGCATTAGATAGCCATGGCAACTGTAATTAACAGTGAAATGCTGCAGCTACTGTAATTTTACATGGGATGGGCATTGTTTTCCAAATAAGTTTAACACAGGAATGAGCATAGACATGTTTGCTTTGATACACTGATACTATAAAGTGTACACCTTTCACTCCCGAAGTAGTTACTTGACAATCATATGAAGATTCTACAATCATATGGCGCTGAGAGTATTATTCTTGGGAAGAACTGCATTTGTTAGCTCGTCACAAATTTCGATAATTCATTCATGACACAAAGTTCGAAATGATAGAGAAAACGAAATGCAAGGTACCAAAAAACGTTACAAAGTGTTATTTAATTTGGACAGTATCGGCAAAAATGTGGACGTAAAATTTCAAACCCTTAAAGAACAATATTGATTATACATTGATTTCTTGCAATGTTTTCAGATTACAAACCATTTTCTGGGCAATCTCATGAATCATCAAATTGAATCTTTCAAATGGGAGGGGAGGAATCGCACACTTTTCTAAATATAGCATAACAATCAGAAAAATACATATTTGTAAAATAGTTGAATATGTCCATGGAAAGCTGAAGAAAACGGATGCCCTTACATTAACCGTGACTCTAACATGTGAATTGTGTACCGGAAGACCGGTTTATTTAGGAGGCCATGTGACTGTTCTCATCGAATGGGTCATTTGAGAAGTAACCTGCTATGGTCATGACATTATACCAGATACGAACCATGATGAAACATATTTCGCCTAGCGGCATTGAATACCATAAATATGTCTGATCTGACTTGCCTATGAAGTTTAAATCTAACTGGAAGACATGATCAAACATTGGTTAATCATACCCCGTATAACATCGTAAATTACATGCTGCTGGAACAGAGACATGTGAACAGAATTAGTCCACGTAAAGCCATGTAAGGTAATCCCGATGTACGAATATGGTTCTCAAATAGTTCGACTGAACATACACGATTGAACGTAAAGAACTTCATCGCATCAGACGAGTCTTCGACACAAAATACACGCGTAACAAGTGAGTGAGTTAGTTAAGATTTTAAGTCACATCGGCAATAGTTCAGCCATATTGTGACTATTCACAAGTTATAATGTCATAATAAATCATTATAAAAACCTGTCGGCGAAGGACAGTAAAAATAACTAGAATATCACAGATATAACTGTAAAACTAGTATGAAAATCTAAAATATGTTAACTATGAAAGACAATACAATATATAAAAGTTGCTATAGATCGCCAACAACTGAAGGTAGATCACCATACTAGAGACCACTGGGACTTACAGTACCTTTGCTACCTGCATGGGCTCTAGCTGGATTTACATTACCCCTTCAGCCATTGGCGATTGTAGTCAAATTTAACTCATATTCTACGATTAAAGACACGTGGTATGAAGAATCCTTTGAATGAAATTGAACTTACATACCTTCTCAGGGGTACAATAATTTTACGCTACTTCAACCCCCTTTGAAGGTAATGCCACTAACAGTCAAAGTCATTTTTTCATTCACACAAATTAAAATTCATATTCTAATCACAATACATATCAAAATTTATCAACTAATTCAATTTCTTTTAAAAAACTCAATAATTAAATGAATATGTACATTAAAAAGATCTTCCATCGTTTTTACATTGAAATATTTATCCCTTGTGATGGAAAAATCAATACAGCCAAGCGATTCTGTCATCACTAGGGATGCAAAACGGAGGATCCTCACCTTTAAGCAAATACTCATGGGTGTATCGAGAATGTCCAATACGACATCGTCTTAGAATAACCTCTTCAAATCTGGAGTGATAACCCAAGTAGGTGTAACCAATGGTTGGTTTAATTGCAATTATATCTTTATATATCTTTGGTTTATATGCATTAATAATTTATTCATATCTACTTGGATGTCCCAGTTCTTCTGCATCAGATCACGAATGTACGACCTAATGGTTGCTTTGTAATCGGAGTATAGAATGAGAAGTGGTATCACAGATTTGTTGAGTTCTGCCTTAGCAGCTAAATCGGCCAGTGTGTTACCAGAGATTCCAACATGACTAGGTAACCAACAGAGGACGATGTCGTATTGGCCAGTAGCAAGATCATTATAAAATTCAATTATATCGATTAAAAGTGGATGTTTGCAGGAGGGATTTTTTTATAGCCTGAAAGTACGAAAGAGAGTCTGAAAATATGATATATTGTTTATATTTAGGATGGATTTAAATATAGTTAAGCTCTGTTAATATGGCATTTGCTTCTGCTGTGAAAATAGAACTATCACCTGGTAATCTAGAAGAGATTGTTCGAGATCCAATGACAGTGGCACAAGCCACTGCGCCACAATCCTTGGATCCATCTGTAAATAAGAATTTGTATGTATTATATTTACTTTTTATACTCTTGTTTATATTGTAATTCATTAGTTTCGAATGTTTTAAATGTTGTCAGTGTTAGGTCAACTTCTGGCCTCAACAATTGTCAAGGAGGAGAAGAAAGAAGACGGAAAGGAGAAATATGTTCCAGCTAAATGCCGGCAGCAGAAATTAATGGCTTAATTCTGAGCCCAAGAGGCGGGACAGGAGAAGATTTCCTGGTGTATAAATCCTCATAGAGAGGATTGAACACAGTTATATGCAGGGTTAGAGTATAATTTCGTAATATATTGTAAAGATAATTTTATACGGCGTTGTGTAAGGGGCTCATCTGCCTCAACGAAGAGACTGTCAACAGGAGAAGTTCTAAAAGATCCAAGACAAAGTCTTAGACCTTGGTGGTGGATAGAATCTAATATTTTTAGGTTGCTGTTGCAGGCCCCACCATATATGATGGAGCCATAATCAGGTTTGGAGCGGACTAGTGATCTGTATAGGTCTAGGAGGGTGGCTTGATCCCTTTCCCACTTTGAATTAGAAACTACTTTCAATAAATCGAGTGCCTTCAGGCATTTATTTTTATGGGATTTAATATGCGGAATAAAAGTTAAATGGCAGGCGAAAATGAAACCAAAGAACTTGGCCTCTTTGACAACTTTGAGTCCCATTTAAATTTAGTTCTGGGTCCTTATGCGGCTTATATTTTCTGCAGAAGTGTATGCAGTTAGTTTTTAACTTAGAAAACTAGAAAGCCGTTTTCAAGACACCATTTATTTATTTTGTTTAAACACAATTGCAGTTGCCGTTCAATAGTATGCATATTTTTACCGCGACAAGAAATATTAAAATCATCACCAAACAGCGATCAATCGATTGAATCGTTTAAAACATTGGACAAACTATTTATCTTTATACTAAAAAGTGACGCGTAACAAGAAACAGGGTATACAATGTCAAGAATTTATTATCGATATTCTTACTAAGAAACATTGTCTTTAATTGAAATTTATATTTCAAACGAGAAGGTCCGTCTTTATAATTCAGCACCAGTGTATGTTTCAGCACGACTTATTGCAAATTGGCATATGTACATGTGTGAAAATAATAATGTGTGCTAAATAATCATGTATTGCAGAAATGGCATCGGCACACAAACTTTCTGTTGTTAACAGTATTCGATTCACAAACAAATAACAACACCTAATATGACGCATGTTAACTTAGCAAGACCTGTGTGTTCACATGTGTACAAGTGTGGAAACTATGTTAAATATGCCTTGGAGAAATGGGCCACAGCATACAAAACAATTGTTGTCAACATTTCGATTTACCGTTAAGGTATCACGTAAAGATAACAACACCCATCATGACGCATGTTAACTTAACAAGACCTGTGTGTTTACCGGACCAACCTTTGTTTGTGAACGTCTTTCGATGACTCGTTTTGATGTCTTTGTACAACTAAAGGACACTAGAGTTTCAATAACATACCTCCAGCACTTCATTTTGAATTGTTAAGCATAGCACGCGTTGAAAACTGAAGTCTACTCAGTAATGCTTCAAATAGTGATAGGCCAACACAGAATTCTTTACTTTTTTCCCAAGACTGGAGACTAATCGTTGGATAGTAAACGAGTCCTTTTTAGATACCGTTTTAATGTAAACTGTGTTGGATAACCCATCAAATTATAGAAAATAGTTTTCGGTATTTTTTATATTTATTACTCACTTCCCCATTATCTAAACTCAGCGTTGAAAAATGACGATGATATAAGGCTTGCGTATTGATTCATCATTCATAGCTACTGATTCGATCATGGACCGTTTTCTTATATTGCTACCTGTTAGTAAAGTGTTCGTCTTTCCTAGTGATCAGTTTTATGATTAGGTGCTGATTCTAAATAACACGTTAATAAAAACAAACCATAAACATCACAACATATACATACAATGTGAAATTCCATCAAATTCGGTTCCTGGAAGAGCAAGATAACATCGAAACAACCCATCCTATCTTATTTTATAAAAACACAGTTTCAATACACACATGAAAGCTCTGCTTAAGGCAGGGTTGACTTTACGATTCCGACGATATATTATGATCATTGCTGTCACACAATATAATATCACTCACGAAGAACCATCTACTCATTGGACGTGATGACATCGTTTGATAATAATGACGTCTCCAGAAATGCCACATTTCATTTTTTCGATATTATTTAATAATTCTTACTTACCCAATTGTTCTATTTGTACCACAAAATGAAGCCAAAATGTACATATTTAGGCCTTAATGGTTCACAGTGCCACCGGCTACACGCTTTGCTTCGACAGTTACGATGAATGACCATCAGTAGCCATGCTTGTGTTTGTCATTATTCTGTTTTCTTCCTGAAATGATCGCCAATGACATGCCTAAACTAATGTCTTTTAATGCCATTTGTTCCAAGGACAGTGTCATTTTCATCCTTGATGTGACTAGGTCGCTAAATGAAATGTGTACTATGACATCAAATGTCATTTCGCCGAGGTCACAATATCAGGAATCTGGAATTATGAATGCATAGAGATTGCAACACGAGACTCTTCAGGCAAAATAATCTTCGGGGTTCTTACCTCTTGTCAAGAATTGACGTTTGACATCAACTTACTTTCAAAGGACTTGGAATCAGAGACATCACATGCCTCAAATATCACATTTGCTTTTCCCCATTTCTCTTGAAGTTCAGTTAAAGTTGCCTGTCCTTGTATTGCATTAAAATCCGCTATGCACACCTGGAGAATAATAATAAAGAACAATAATTGAGTCTTGTCGTAGAAAAACACCGACAAGTGAAATATGAAGTCAAGCTTTGCAGACCTTTTCAACGTCACCACTTACCATGACGTTACAATAAAATCAAATTTGAATTGTCTCAGATGCTGGTAAGCTGTGCAATTTACACCCACACCATTTAATATTACTGTTTCCAAAATCTAAACGTTCGGGATCTTGAAGATCCAGGTTGGAATTGATCTTCAACAACCTCTGCTTATGGTGTCGTAAGAGGGGACTGACGGGATTGGGTGGTCAGGTAGACCTGGTTGAAGCATGTCATCTGATCCCAATGCTCATGGTATCGAACGTCATATTGTCTGGTCCAGATTCGATGTATATTGCTGGAACAACTCTCGTCCATGAAGGATTAATCGATTTTTCAAAATATTTCTGACAGCATATTTGACAAGAACATTATTTTGAAATTCCCTGAAACATAGTTCTGGGTTGTTATCACTACATCAAACAAAGAAATACATTTATCTGGAAAACTTTATTCATAACGACTGTTGTGTGTAAATACACATCGAAAGTATTATTCGTAAAAACTGGTAACCGTGTTTTCAATCTCCAATGAAAATCATATTAATTTCTTTCAGCAGCAAAAGACCATCACTGGCCACAGACCAAATTATCAAATAATCAAATTTATATCTTTTCCTCAGAGTGGAATTACCTACAAACAATCAAATAAGTTATTTTTTAACATAAGGTTCACATACTATTGCCACCGACGTGTGGAATAGGTTGAATTCCGTCCTTTGTTGTCAGAAGTGTAGCATTATACTATTCATTTGTTTTCTGGGTTTCTAGCTGATGAGACATTCGGCATCCCATAACATGTACGCCACAACTTTATAGCTGATGAGACAGGTTTTGTATTTTGTGTGTGGATGTGCGAGTGGTGATGTAATTTGCTCCCGTTATATTAAATGTTACTTGGACTCTCGCATCAACTTGTGAACCAAGGTGACCTCCATAGAAACAAATCGTTGCTAAAAGGTATTTCCAGATCAACTTCAAACCGAATTGATCTGACGTAAGAAGATCACAAGGAGCTGATACTTTATTCATTCAGTTTCTCTCACAACTGAATATTCATTTACTTCAAAATGTCTTCAGAGCTAATATGACACTAAGCATTCGCAAATCGGTCGTCAACGTAATCTTAGATGTTCTGACTCATATCTCGTGTTGTTGGATGCGGGGGTCGTCTTCAGTGCAGTCTTATCACATTTAACGTGTGCCTACGTATGCCATCCTTCCTTTGTGGTGTATCCACGGATGTACTTGATCGCTGCACTTTCCGCAGTTGTGTCCATTTTGTCTATAGGTCACAATGAGTGAGTGAGTGTGTTGGAGTTTACGCGGCTTTCAGCAACATTACAGTAATATCAGGGCGGGGGACAACAAAAATGGGTTTCACACACTGTACCCATATAGGCTCAGTTACTCTGTGTAGATGTTAACTACCTAAATGTGTAAACAGATATTGTTAAATAGATGAAAGGGCGTATTGTAATCTCAGTGATTAATAAACGTGTTTTAATGTGATTGGATCCACACTGACGAAAAGAGGCACACTGTTATAAATATTCTTTCCAAAGTTTCAAACTGCGCGGTACCTGACTTCTATTTTAAAGGGATGGAGAGAATTTTAGTCTTAAAAGAAACCGTTGTTTACCCGATCCATACATACAATGACTACGTTTACAGGTTATTTGCTGTGTACAGCCAGGTAGTGTCCCATTTTTGACAGCGTCTTGGTCACTGATCCATTAAGGTGTGAAGTTTCGCTGTCAAAACTGGGATAACCAGCTGTACCAATTAAGGGTAATTATGTGCATGCAATCAGCTGAGAGAAGTACATAGAACAGCCTTATTGATTCCTATTTTCATATCAGTAATATGAAATATATTACGAGAAGAGCTGACAAGTGTGCCAAAGATTTAGGAGAAAGAAGGAGAAAGATTGCAGCCCGACTTCATATGTATGACAGTATCAAGTCAAGTCTGTACAGACAAAGAACCAAGAAGGTCCCCCGCACTCCAAAAGACGCCCAAGAGCTACAGCTTGATGGAGAATGGTCTACAACAGACCAAGGAGAAGACTTTCTACTGGTAGATGACCACAGCCATCGGCTTATCAGTCCCCAGACTATGTATTACACATTTTTCAAGTTACTATAGATATACAGCAATCGATATATGGCCTATACATTACATGGGCCACATGTGTCCTGGTCCGTTCAATAAATCATTATCCTTTAAGAGGGCTCTTTGGAGTAACATTCGAAACATGACCATGTGGTTTTGCATCCGATATGACTATAATGACGGTTTCACATGCAAAAACTTCCTCGTGTGTGCATTATTCATCATCGTAATTGATTTCATCAGTGACTTTTACTGCATAGAATGAGTATGATCAGCTGTGCGTATCTACATATTTTGCTCGTGAATGTCCCAACATCAGTCAAATACTAATTTGAATTAACGTTATTTGTGCTTAAAAAAACCAAACATACTTGTTTGTTCGAGTGAGTGAGTGAGTGTGATTTTACGCCGCTTTTAACAATATTCCAGCAATATCACAGCAGGGGACATCAGAAGTGGGCTTCACACATTGTACACATGTGGGGAATCGAACCCTATCTTTGGAGTGACGAGCAAACGCTTTAACCACTAGGCTACCCAACCGCCCCTGTTTGTTCAGTGGTGTTTGAACGTGAAATACACCAGACATCGGTATTCTACGTATCTGAAAAAGTTTGATCATAGATATTTGTACATTTGAAATTATAACTGCATGGTTTCGGCTAAGTAATGTTTGCAGCCGTTTTGTCAGATCCAAATTTATTCTTATTTTCCTCACAGTTTTAGATTAGATCAACGAGATAACAATACACTCAATAGTATCTGTCATATTTATTGACTGTACTTTGGTCGTAGTGAGAGGTTATATAAACTGTATGGACTGTGCATTTTCTGTCAGAACTACAATATTTGTGTAAATCTACAATTGCAATCAAATGCCAGAATTTCAACATTACTTGTATAAAAGTAAGGAACCAAGCATGCTGACACACGGCTATCAACACAGTCAGATTCCCCGCATGGGTACCGTGTCCACTCCCTCATCGTGTCCCCAGGCGGTTGGGTAGCCGAGTGGTTAAAGCGTTCGCTCGTCACGCCGAACACCCGGGTTCGATTCCCCGCACGGGTACCGTGTCTACTCCCTCATTGTGTCCCCAGGCGGTGGGTTAGCCGAGTGGTTAAAGCGTTCAATTGTCACGCCGAAGACCCGGGTTCGATTCTCCACATGGGTACAATGTGTGAAACCTATTTTTGGGTGTCCCCCGTCGTGAAGTTGCTGGAATATTACTAAAAGCGGCATAAAACCTCATTCACTTACTCATTAACTCACTCCAGTACTAAGTGTTGGCATGTTGCCAAACAATGCTGGTATATGCTGCTAAAACAATGTTCACTTGTTGAAAAGTCTGGAATGAAATTTTTATTTTGTAAACAATAACATTAAACTAACTATGCTCATTATCATGGACATTATTACTTTCGCCGTGGAGTCCAGATGAGCTGTCGCCTACCTTTGCACCTTTCTGCAACACAGCCTCAGCAACAGCTCTTCCAACTCCCTGTGCCCCTCCGGTAACAAATACAGCCTTGTCCTTCATATCCATGTCTTCTTCGATCCACCCGTTTTACTGTCTAGAAATTAGAAAAGCAGTAAAAATGTTGGATGTTTCAAGTGTTTCTTTTTTCCGATATACCAGTCTTGTCAAACACCGATTGCCAATGTCAGCTGTCGGACAGTCCCTGCCTGAACCATGTATTTTCCGTTTGTCAGTCAGTCAAAGGCCGTGTCACTATAAGATGCCCACTATCAATTGCCTCAGATTAACCTTGATACCTTCACATTAGTCTGCTATACCGACCCTAAAACCAATATACCCAATGCAGCCCATGCAAGTCAAGACTATGCTGCAAGTTTAGATTTGAAGAAAGTCTCTGTACTTCGGTGTGTGCGCTCATATTGTAATATACTGAAAGAAACAAATACAGGATCACAGGAAAATTCAAGCATTCCTTTATTGTTTTCCAGTTTTCATCACCACAGCGCTATTCAAAGATGGTGATGAAAACTGGAAAATATTAAAGGAACGCTTGCATTTTCCTGTGATCCTTTATTTGTTTCTCTCGGTATAATAAGCCTGTTTACAAAACAATACAATACAATATAGTTTATTAAAGTCTCACCATTTGTACAACAAGAATTAAAATACAGCATATAGAATATTAAAAATGTAAAAGTACAAATGCCACCCAAAAGGGTTATGAGAGACCATATTTTACAAAATTAGTGTACATGTACTTTATGGTTATGTAAAAGAGGTAATATGCTACATATTATTATAAACATAGGGACAATATAACAATATAAATATAATAAATTTAAATGATTAAGTACACTGTTAAAGGTAAAATATTAAGTCTATTGTTAAATTATATATAAAGTAGTTTCCTGCGCATAAACATTTTGAAGCACATGCTTCCTAAAAGGTAAGTTACAATGGTTATTTAAAATGGTAATATCTACAGGAGTATTATAAAACATATTTTTAAAATAAAAAGTACGGATATCGTCATAAAAGGGACAGTGTAAAAGTGGGTTTCGTCTTCTGCGTGTGTAGCGGGAATAGGAGAGGAGCAGTATCGGCCCGTATCTATCTCGAGTTTTAGGGAGCCACATCTTAAGGAAGCAAGTATATATCCCTCGCTTGTATCTTGGAAGTCGAATGTAACCCCCAGTGTTCATTTCAGTCATAAAAAGTTTAAAAGTTTTACATCCGTATTTAACAAAATGACTTTCTACTTACAGCTCCAAGCTCTGCAATCAAAACATACTGATTAAATAATACCGATGCTTAGTCCCTCAAATATATACATCTTGTCATCATGACATTGTCCATTTCCTATATGCTATATAGCATAGAGTCACTATATATACATATGTTCCAATCCTCCTATCCTAACTTTCCTGCATGCATTGTACATGAATATGAGGTCATTTCCGTACGATATATTTTGTTTGTTCACGAGATCACATGTGTGTGACGTATTCAAAAGAAGTTCACGTGATCATGTCTGTCCGATATATTAAAAATTAGAACACATGATCATATCTGTGCGATATATACAAAATTATATAATTAGTACACCTGATCATATCCGTTCGATACATTCAAAATGAGTTGACATGATCATAATCAGTACGATTTATTCTACATTAGTTCACGTGATCATATCAGTATGATATATTCTACATTAGTTCACGTGATCATATCAGTACGATATATTCTACATTAGTTCACCTGATCATATCAGTACGATATATTCTACATTAGTTCACCTGATCATATCAGTACGATGTATACTACATTAGTTCACGTGATCATATCAGTACGATGTATTCTACATTAGTTCACGTGATCATATCAGTACGATATATTCTACATTAGTTCACGTGATCATATCAGTATGATATATTCTACATTAGTTCACGTGATCATATCAGTACGATATATTCTACATTAGTTCACCTGATCATATCAGTACACATATTCAATATTAGTTCACCTGATCATATCAGTATGATATATTCTACATTAGTTCACGTGATCATATCAGTATAATATTTGCTACATAAGTTCACGTGATCATATCAGTATGATATATTCTACATTAGTTCACGTGATCATATCAGTACGATGTATTCTACATTCATTCACGTGATCATATCAGTACGATGTATTCTACATTGGTTCACGTGATCATATCAGTACGATATATTCTACATTAGTTCACGTGATCATATCAGTATGATATATTCTACATTAGGTCACGTGATCATATCAGTACGATATATTCTACATTAGTTCACGTGATCATATCAGTACATATATTCTATATTAGTTCACCTGATCATATCAGTACGATATATTCTTCATTAGTTCACGTGATCATATCAGTATGATATTTGCTACATAAGTTCACGTGATCATATCAGTATGATATATTCTACATTAGTTCACGTGATCATATCAGTATGATATATTCTACATTGGTTCACGTGATCATATCAGTATGATATATTCTACATTAGTTCACGTGATCATATCAGTACGATATATTCTACATTAGTTCACCTGATCATATCAGTACGATGTATTCTACATTAGTTCACGTGATCATATCAGTACGATGTATTCTACATTAGTTCACGTGATCATATCAGTACGATATATTCTACATTAGTTCACGTGATCATATCAGTACGATATATTCTACATTAGGTCACGTGATCATATCAGTACGATATATTCTACATTAGTTCACGTGATCATATCAGTACGATATATTCTACATTAGTTCACGTGATCATATCAGTACGATATATTCTACATAAGTTCACGTGATCATATCAGTATGATATATTCTACATTAGTTCACGTGATCATATCAGTACATATATTCTATATTAGTTCACCTGATCATATCAGTATGATATATTCTACATTAGTTCACGTGATCATATCAGTATGATATATTCTACATAAGTTCACGTGATCATATCAGTATGATATATTCTACATTAGTTCACGTGATCATATCAGTACCATACATTCTACATTTATTCACGTGATCACATCAGTACCATAAATTCTACATTAGTTCACGTGATCATATCAGTATGATATATTCTACATTAGTTCACGTGATCATATCAGTACATATATTCTATATTAGTTCACCTGATCATATCAGTATGATATATTCTACATTAGTTCACGTGATCATATCAGTATGATATATTCTACATAAGTTCACGTGATCATATCAGTATGATATATTCTACATTAGTTCACGTGATCATATCAGTACCATACATTCTACATTTATTCACGTGATCACATCAGTACCATAAATTCTACATTCATTCACGTGATCACATCAGGACGATATATCCTACCTTAGGTTACGTGATCATATCAGTACTAAACATTCTACAATAATTCACGTGATCACATCAGTATGATATTTTCTACATAAGTTCGCGTGATCATATCAGTGCGATATTTTCCACATTAGATCACGTTTACACAATCACACTCCACGCACCTGCTGTTTGCATAGACAATTGTAATGCCCTTGTGTCAGAACAGCTGAACATTGCACAGCTATTTTAATTCTGTAAAGAGTAGATATTGTATTGCTCACTCCATCCTGCTTTCATGCCATGTCCGTTTGTACCGAACTGTCACATGTTAAATGACACAGCTACAATAGGTAACTGAACTTCCCTGTCAAACATACTGGGCAATTGAGCACAATTGATCATCCACAGCCATACCACGTCATGTCATGTGATACCAACTGACGAATTATTTCATTATCCACACGCGATCAATACTATATATAGGTTATGTTGGTGTTAAAATGTTTCACTTGCGAATGTGTAATGCTGGCTTTGATAAATAATTTACTAAAGTATACCGGTATAGTCTAATTCCTATAGCTTGAGTATACTATGTATAACCGGCGTATATCAGTGTACTTACCTGATAGAACCCTGGAGAGACTGAGAGGTCAGGACTGAGGGAACCATATACAGTTACTGCATATTTACGTCACTAACCACCCGACTTCTTCCTTCAAGAGGACTTTGCACCGTCTGTGACCTGTTTTACCACAGTACGTATGCGTGTATACGAAGGCCGAGAGTCTATTTAAATAGGCCTACGTATGTCTACACCGGTTCGTATCTTCAATGTTATTGAACAGGTCTGAGCGTATTTGACTATGCAAATGCCTTGAGTAGATACTCAGCTATGACATCGTGTGTTGTTGTGAATAATTCTAAACGCTCGCCTAGCCACAGGGCTGGGTTGTAAAAGGTGTATTGTTAACTTCAATGATATGCACTAAGGCCTCTAAAGAAACAGAACTCCGCAGCTTAGGGGATTAGTGCGACTTCATTGAATCTAAGGATGCGGTGTGCTGCATACTGACCAACGAATTTCTAAGGTATCGCGGTCTCGGCTTCTATAGCAAAAGTTGGTGTTTGGGAAAAGGCTAATTTTACCATACAAAAAAGGCCAAATTCACATTGTATGTGAAAATACACTTTCCAGGTTTTAACAGAAACGCCGGGATCTTGGTTTGGGGCATAATGTTATTTTATCTCGAATTTCCCTGGTTCAGGCTATTGTCAAAATGGATTAAAGAGGCACGGGTTGTCTAGATGCTACGTCTCGTCATAGTGCCTTAAATGCCTTATGACGCCTGCCCAGGATGCGATTATTATTCGCTGTTATCTGAAATCTCCATGAAACATTAAGTGACACTCATGCATTAAGGCAACACAACACAAAAGGTCCTAGCAAACAGTAAAAGGCAGCCATAAACCACTCAGTTATGCACACAGACATAAAAACACGGACTCACTCACTCACTCGGACAGGTTCAGATTATGATAAGCTGTCCCCGATAAAACGTTAGAAGATACCTAACCTAAACAGATATAGTTTGCTGACGAAGCATGTTCTATATCAACTAATATACGATACTCCCCTTCATATGTTTCTTCATGTTCTGCTGGTAATCCCTCAGCGGTGATTTACAGATGGGGATGACAGCTACTCAGATCCAATGTTAAGTCACTATAGTCTGCTGTATATCATGTGTAACATACGTCAGGGACTCACTGTACTGACTGGGATTATTGTGTTTGGTCCGGTGTAAGACAGGGACATTTGAAAGAAATTTATTACAGGGAGAGTGGATTGGAGTAGAGGCGAGAGGAGGGTTGTTGATGGTTGTAGGGGGAAGCGGAAGGGTGTTGAGAGGAATAGTGGAGCAGAGAGCTGTTGCGGGAGTGAGTGAGTGAGTGATTTTAGTTTTAGGCCGCTTACAGCAGTATGTCAGCAATATCACGGCGGGGGACACGGAAATGGGCTTCACACATTGTACCCATGTGGGGACTCGAACCGGGGTCTTCAGCGTGACGAGGGTCACTTTTGACAACTAGCCTACCCCAGAGCGCCTGGCTATTGTGGGAAGTAGAGCGGAGAGGAGTGGAATAGGGGATGGGAGGTGAGAACGGGACGTGAGCAAAGGCATGTTGAGGGGATGGATGGGAGGAGAGTTGAGGGAGGCGGAGAGCTGTTGAGGGAAGTAGAGAGGAGAGGTAGTGTGAAAGGAGGTGAGCACAGGCATATTGAAGGGTGGGGGAGTTGATGGGAGGGAGCCGAGGGGGGTTGAACGTAACGGAACGGAATGGAGAGGAGCAGAATGGAGCGAGGAGCTGTTGAGTGGAGGAGTAGTAGGGGGCACAGTGTATTGGAGGGATGTTGAAGCGAGTTGATCGGAGCGGAGCGGAGGGCCATTAGTAGTACTCTAGCGGAGTACAGGGAGCGGAGGGGTGGCGAGGAGAGGAGTAAGTCAGTTTAGTTTTACGCCGCTTTTAGCAATATTCCAGCAATATTACGGCGGGGGACACCAGAAATTGGCTTCACACATCGTACCCATGTGGGGAATCAAACCGGGTCTTCAGCATGACGAGCAAACGCTTTAACCACTGGGCTACGACAACCCTGGTGAGTTTTGAGTGGAGTTGAGGCAATCGGACCGGACGGGAGCGGTGTAGAGAGGAGCGGATGGGGCGGTGTTGAGGGAAGTGATGAGAATCAGTGATTGAGCATAGATGTTGATGATGATTACAATTTTTACGTCGGCTTTTGGCTGAGCATTATCACACCTGGCCTGTAACTATACGAGACCATATGATGGAACCACATCTTAGATAAACTTCGGGTATTTGGAAATTTATGCTTGTAACACATCGCATATATACTCTCCCCAAAAAGAAACGCATATAGGAATTTCAACTGTATTTTTATGTTTACTTTGAAACATCTTGTAGGCTTTATGAGTCAATGAAATATAACGAAATTGCACACTGGGAATGCAGACATATCTGTCTTTGGCACCAAGTCGAGGAAAGTCAGTTTGAGTGTTACATGGAGACGTGTGGTGGCTCTGAAGTCAATACCTCGTGTGACCACCGTGGGCATCCAGAACTGCACGGCATCGCCTCGGCATCGAACGAATAAGTCTCAGAATCTCGTGTTGCCCAATCGCAGTCCACTCTCCCTGTAGTGCCTGTGCGAGTTGCTGAAGTGTCTGGGGCTGAGGGTTACGGTGTCTAACCCGTCTGTCCAGGGCATCCCACAGATGTTCGATCGGGTTTAAGTCCGGTGATCTTGAGGGACAGGGGAGCACATTGATGTTGTGGTTCTGGAGGAAGTCTCTAGTGTGACGTGCTGTGTGGGGCCTGGCATTGTCCTGTTGAAACAACTCCCTCTGGCGATCAATGATTGGAAGGAGGTGTGGGCGTAGGATTTCATCACAGTACCGTTGAGCTGTCAGGTTGCCCTGGATCATCACCAAATCACTTCTCCTACGGCAGATGATCTCTCCCCACATCATAACACTTCCCCGGCCGAATCTGTCCACCTGGGGAACGCAAGCGTCGGCGAAACGTTCACGTCGACGTCTGTACACCCGCATTCTTCCATCGCGTCGTTCCAATAGAAATCGTGATTCATCACTGAACCAGATTCTACGCCAATTCGGTAGGTTCCAGGCCTGAACGTTGGTGCACCATTGAACTCGATGTCGACGATGTTGTTGTCGAAGCACAGGGCCAACATAAGGTCTTCTGGCAAGTAAACCAGCCTCTCTCAACCTGTTCCTGACGGTCTGTGCAGAAAGCCTCCTAAATCCGGGTATTTGTCGAGCGGTACTGGTCGCCGTAGCTGTTCGATGACGCAGGTGATGTACCCGGATGTAGCGATCCTGCGCCGCAGTGGTCGCTCGAGGTCGCCCACTACGAGGGGCATTTGCTACCGCATTCTGCCGGCGATATCTCTACCAGAGCCGTGAAATGGTGCTTTGGTGAACATTCATGCGTCGGGCAACTGCACGTTGAGACTGGCCTGGTTCAAGCAAACCAATGGCGATATGACGGTTGGCTTCACTTAGACGTGGCGTTTTGCGTTCGTCAACAATTTCCAAATACAGTGAATAATCGACAGACAGCGATCAACCTTTTACACCCATCATTGAGACTATCTGACCCCCAACTTTCACGTGCATTGCATGTGAATTGTGTATTCTGTGACACTACACGCCGAAATTGAAAATCATGCTGTTAAATACGGGTATTTTACGGATGGTGCGTTTTGTTGTGATGTTTCAAAACATAAACACCATAGGACTCATAAACAGAGCAAAACCTTTTGTAAAATGAATCACGTTTTAGTTCATTGCTACATGAAATTGCTATTTTCATTATGCGTTTCTTTTTTGGGAGAGTATATATCTGTGGCTGTTTGATACATGTTTATCTATGTACATACATACACACTAGTGTGTTGGTACTGACAGGTCAAACATCCATATTTAGTTTTTCAAATTAATTAAATGTGTTAATTTAAAGTCAATCCCCTGTGGATCCATTCTTGAACAAGCAGTATATTGATATTCATTGACTGCACCTTGTCTGTCGATACACTAGTCGATACGTTAGTCTATACACTGGTCTATACACTGGTCTATACACTAGTCTATACACTAGTCTATACACTAGTCTATACACTAGTCTATACACTGGTCTATACACTAGTCTATACACTGGTCTATACACTAGTCGATACACTGGTCTATACAGTAGTCGATACACTGGTCTATACAGTAGTCGATACACTAGTCGATACACTAGTCTATACACTAGTCTATACACTGGTCTATACACTAGTCTATACACTAGTCGATACACTAGTCTATACACTAGTCGATACACTGGTCTATACAGTAGTCTATACACTAGTCTATACACTAGTCGATACACTGGTCTATACACTAGTCGATACACTGGTCTATACACTAGTCTATACACTAGTCGATACACTAGTCTATACACTAGTCGATACACTGGTCTATACAGTAGTCTATACACTAGTCTATACACTAGTCGATACACTAGTCTATACACTAGTCGATACGATAGTCGATACACTGGTCTATACACTAGTCGATACACTGGTCTATACACTAGTCGATACACTGGTCTATACACTGGTCTATACACTGGCCTATACACTAGTCTATACAGTAGTCGATACACTAGTCTATACACTGGTCTATACACTAGTCGATACACTGGTCTATACACTAGTCGATACAGTAGTCGATACACTAGTCTATACACTAGTCTATACACTGGTCTATACAGTAGTCTATACACTAGTCTATACACTAGTCGATACACTAGTCTATACACTGGTCTATACAGTAGTCTATACACTAGTCTATACACTAGTCGATACACTAGTCTATACACTAGTCGATACACTAGTCGATACACTAGTTTATACACTAGTCGATACACTCGTCTATACACTAGTCGATACACTGGTCTATACACTGGTCTATACACTGGCCTATACACTAGTCTATACACTAGTCTATACACTAGTCGATACACTAGTCGATACACTGGTCTATACACTGGCCTATACACTAGTCTATACAGTAGTCGATACACTAGTCTATACACTGGTCTATACACTAGTCGATACACTGGTCTATACACTAGTCGATACAGTAGTCGATACACTAGTCTATACACTGGTCTATACACTGGTCTATACAGTAGTCGATACACTAGTCTATACACTAGTCGATACAC